CTGGTGACTCTAGTGTGATTGCTTCTTACTACCCCTTGTTGCCTAGTGCAGGCATGTCTAGTCGTGCCTCCCCTGCTACGTCAGGTGTAGGATCCCTTGCCTTGTTTAGCCTAGGTTCTACTGTCGCTGCTCTCTCTTCAGACGCCACCGCTGCGCTCTCCTTCACCCTCGACTCTGGCGCTTCTCGATGTTTCTTCCGTGACTCCACTACGCTGACGCCTCTTGCTACTCCTGCTGGAGTTTCTCTTGCTGACCCCTCCTCCGGCCCGGTGGTCGCTCCCAGTTCCACCACCCCTCCCTGTCTGGCGGTTCCTTCGGGCTCTCTTACAAGCCTGCACATCCCCTCGTTCTCCAGGAACCTAGTTGGTGTTGGCTGCCTCCAGGATCTTGGCGTCACCACTACGTTCCCTGGTCACGAGCGATACGCTGTCTATACCGAGGCCGCCACTAGTGCCCCCCTCACCACGTTCCCCGGGGACCCGGTGTCCGGCCTGTTTACACTAGACTCTGCGACCCCCCTGGTAGGAACGTCTCCTCAGGTGGCTACGTCTACCCAGGTTGCTGCGGCCTGCTCCTGTCGGTCGCTCACTCACCCAACACTCCTCTGGCACCACCGGCTAGGTCATCCCGCCCTCCAGCGTCTGCATCACATGTGACAACACGGTCTTGTCATAGGTCTCCCAGGGTCGTTCCCCGAGTTGCCCTCCTCCCTAGCACCACCGTGCACGCCCTGTGTCGAGGGCCGGCTCCGCCGTGCCCCTCACTCCTCCTCGTTCCCCCCTACCGCCGCACCGCTACAGACTCAGCACATGGACATCTGGGGCCCCGCCCCCGTCCATGGGCCGCGTCGAAAGCGCTACTTCCTAGTGCTTGTCGACGACTACACGCGCTACACTAATGTGTTCCCTCTGGAGCGGAAGGCCGACGTGCCTGACGTTCTCATCCCGTGGCTTGTCTCTGCGCGTGTCCACCGCGGTCTCCCTGTCTTGCGTCTCCACTCCGACCGTGGTCGCAAGTTTGCCTCTGGTGGCCTTGGTCATTTCTGTCGTGCAGAGGGCATCACCTAGACGTTCACCCTGCCGCACTCCCCGCAGCAGAATGGGGTCGCTGAGTGACGCATCGGCTTGGTCATCAAGGTTGCCCATACCTCCATGATCCATGCCAGTACACCCCATTTTCTGTGGCGGTTCTCTGTTCACTGCGCCGCTCACCAGCTTAACCTGTGGCCGCACCCCCAGCAACCGCAGGTTTCGCCGACCCTTCTTTGGTCCGTGTCTTCTGATGACGCGTCTCCGTTTCACGTCTGGGGCTGCCTTGCTCACGTTCGTGCCTCTGGCACGGACAAGCTCACTGCCCGCACCCTCCCTTGTGTCTTCCTCGGTTTCCCCCTTGACGCATCCGACTGGCACTTCTAATAACCGCCGTCTCACTGCTTCTTTCACTCCCGTGACGTCACCTTTGACGAGTCCGTCTCCTTCTACCGTCGTTTCCCCCACACAGGTCCCCCGGTTATTCCCCCCCCAATTCCTAGTTACCCCTTCCCCAGTCGCCCCTGTCCCCCCCCCCCCCCCGTCCTGCACCGTCTGGTGTGTCTCACGTCACTCCCCTCCCGTCGCTTCTCCCGGTCGAGGAGTCTGCTGACTCTGGTGGCCCTGCGCAGTCCTCGTCGCCTGCCCCTTCCCAGGTGTCTCCTCCTCCGCCGCCTTTGCAGCCGCCGTCACCACCGCCGCGGCCGTCGCAGCAGCACTTCGTTGAATCTGGAGGTGCTGGCGTTAGGTTGGGTACTAGTCCTAGGGTTCCTGTCGTGGCTTGTCCCGGCAGCTCCGGGGTTGTTCCTTCTGGGGGTGTTGCAGTGGAGTGTTCCGAAGGCAGCCGTGGAGCAGCTTGTCGTCCCGGTGTCGGTGTCGTGCCGCCACAGCAGCGGTCACCGCCGGTCACTGCCGAGGGCAGGAGCACCCCCGACAGACGGAGGACCGGCAGTGACCGGCAATGTCCGGCAGTGTCCTGGAGGACCGGCAGTACGAGCTTGCTTTCCTGTCAGAGGCTGCTCCCCATCTGTGTTCCATGCTGTTAGGCCCTGAGGGTGACCCAGACGCTTTCGACATCCCGACCCCTCACACTTACGCTGAGGCGACCTCGTAACCTTGGGCCTCTCAGTGGATAGCTGCCATGGAGGAGGAGATGGCATCTTGGAGATCCACCGGCACCTACGTCGACGCGGTTCCTCCACCTGGGGTGAACGTAGTCGACGGTCACTGGCTCTTCAAGGTGAAGCGCCCTCCTGGAGAGCCGCCTGTGTTCAAGGCGCGCTACGTGGCTAGAGGCTTTAGTCAGCGTGAGGAGGTGGACTTCTTTCAGACTTTCGCCCCGACCCCGAAGATGACAACTCTTCGGGCGCTGCTACACGTAGCAGCACAGCGTGACTACGAGTTACACTCCCTCGACTTCTCCACTGCGTTTCTTCAGGGCAGTCTGTATGAGCAGGTCTACTTGCGTCGCCCTTAGGGTTTCATTGGTACCTTCCCTCTTGGGACCCAGTGGCTTCTGCGGCGCCCAGTCCACGGCTTACGTCAGGCTTCCCGCGAGTGGCACGACACGTTGCGTGCCACTCTTGCAGACCTGCAGTTCTTTCTGTCTTCCGCAAACCCCTCGCTCTTTGTTCGTTCTGGCCAGTGTCCGTTCTACATCCTTGTTTACGTAGACGATCTGGTCTTTGCCACAGCAGACACCACCGTGCTCGCCTTTGTGAAGGCTGAGCTATTGAGGAGACACACCTGCACTGACCTAGGAGAGCTGCGCCACTACCTGGGCCTGCAGATCTCCAGAGACAGTGCAGCGCGCACCATCATTCTCACCCACTCACACTTGGTGCGCCAGGTCCTTCAGAGGTCCGGTCTTCAGTTCTCCTCTGCACAGCTCACACCTCTTCCAGTAGATCACAGGCTCTCTGCTCCAGTTGCTGAGGAGTCAGCAGAGCCCAGTGGTCCTTACGCAGAGCTGGTGGGTGTCTCATGTACCTGATGACTTGCACTTGTCCATATCTCGCATACCCTCTCAGCATCCTGGCTCGCTTTGTGGCCACAGGAAAACTCAGACCTCAGTACTGGTCTGCGGTTAAGAGGGTTTTGCGTTATCTCGCGAATACATCAGGTATAGGGTTAGTGCTGGGAGGACGCAGGCCGGTGGTCCTTACTGGGCACACAGACGCTTTTTGGGCAGACGACGCTGAGACCCTGAGGTCCTTGCAGGGCTACTGCTTTAGCCTTGGTTCGGGTGCTGTCTCGTAGAGAGCTACTCGCTCCTCGTCTGTTGCCCAGTCCAACTGTGAGGCCGAGATCTACACCGGTGCCAGGGCGGCACAGGAGCTCCGCTGGCTGACCTTCTTGCTCACTGACTTAGGTGAGCGGCCTAGCTCTGCACCAGTCCTGTACGCTGATAACATGGCGATGATCGTCCTGTGTTAGGAGCCTCGACTTGAGGGCAGAGCAAAGCACATCCAGTTGCGGTACTTCCTCCTGCGCGAGCTGCAGCAGCGTCGTCAGGCTCGCGTAGTACACTTGGTCTCCGGTGCCAACACAACTGATATCTTTACGAAGGCCCTTGCGCCTAAAGATCATCAGCGGCACTGTGTACAGCTAGGCCTTGTTCCCGTTACGTCTCACCTGCTAGGGTGTTGACTATGTACTGACCTTTATATATTTTATTCTTGACTGGCCTTGTGGCCTCTCCCAGTGGCTGGACTAGTAGTGCCGCCCTGGTCTTGCTCTGCACTGGTCTGTACTTGTTTCACTGGTCTTTGGACCCTTGACTCAGAGGTTGGACTTGTAGTGCCGCCCTGAGTTGCCGTTTCTCTCATCAGGAACTGCACCTATGTAGTCTAGGGGGTGTGTCAAACATATATATAGGTTATGTTGGTAGAGACTTTATAGGTTCATATCTTAGAGGGTACAACACTTAGGCTTATACCCTTGTACTGGTTTCTCTCGACATCCAATCCTAAGTTAAGATGAGTTTCCCAACCAAGGGCATGAGATCAGACATGACAGCAAGCAAGGTGTTCTGGTCACCTGGGTGAGACAAATTGGCCATCTGTAGTAAGTATCAGTAGCCAACCAAGCTCTGGATCAGCGGAATATAGTTGGGCCAGGTTTTTCCCGGTATAGAACCGAAGTATTATGTTACACGTATGAAAGGTTCCTGCCTAGGGACACATATTTGTTTGTTCGGTGTATACGAGCTTTTGCAGATCCGTAACATCCCCCTTAATGTTCCTGAAGCTCGGCAGAGTGCGAGCGAGCCCTTAGGGCGTGTATCCTACGGTTTCGGAACCGAGTTCCGTCCGTGGGCGAAAGGGAAACAGTTTTCGACAATGCCCGTTTTATTTGTCGCCAATGACCTCGCGAAGGTTTCACGAGTTCCGGAAGTCGTGCACCTGTCTGGACGCGGGTTTGGAACGGTCGTCCGGAGGTCTGTTCGAAACTCTCTTGCAGTTCTGAGCGAGTAGCCCATGCTACTCCCGCGAAAAGAACGAAACATCACGACAAAGCCGTTACTCCACGCGCCAATTTGACCGGTCGCGAGGCAAGTAATTGGCACTGGCCAAATTATTCTTGTTCATTGGATGCGAAGGTATTGTTTTCGATCATTTCGCGTGGAAGGTTCGCCTTTTGTTCAAGGGTTTGAATGTTGGAACTTCGAGTTTCGGAACTCCAAGTTCCGTCCACAGACAGATAGCGAATGTGAGTTTCGAAACACGGGATTCCATGCGCAAACGGAACTGGCGAATAACAGTGACGGAACCCGGACTGTAGGCTACACGCCCTTACAGCAGCAAAGCGGCATACAAGCAACAGTGCTTTCTCTCCTTTCCACGTGTCCGCCCCCGCTCGCCCCCTTGCATGCGTAGCGCGCTGGCTTTGTCCGTTTCACGCCGACCTATGTTCATGGCGTCTCGGGAAATCCGTGCAGTGACGTTAGCGAGGAGGGTATTCTTTCGAAGACGAGGGTTTGAGGCCATGGCTGCCAGCAGCTCCAATCGTCCATTCCAGCACCCGTAAACGGTTTGCAAGTACTTCGAAGTACGCCCTTTTTCGAAATACACGCCGCTAGACCAAATCAAGATCCTAGTCGTCAGCGATGTGAAGGCACTGGCCGTTCGTCCGTTTCTAGAATCACTCTCCCTAGGACGTTCTTCGCGGTTTCGCCGCCATGGTTCGAGCGAAGGCTTCGGCGCGGATTCTGGTTCAAACCACTCGAACCTTAACCCGATCTTTGAGGTCACGGCCCGCTATCCACTATGCGGAGGCTCGTCGAGGCCGTTTAGTTTCGGCGAGGGGAAGAGGAGCGGGACGACAACAAGCAAGACAGCAGCGACCAGAACTGGTTCTGGAGTCGACCGAAGTGAGCGTGACAACAGCCGAGGCCGTTACGACTACTCGAGGTGCTGGTACCAGCACGTCCAGTAGCCAGGGTCTTCCTGCAGCTGTGATGGATGCAGCCCTTGTTGCAACGGAAGCGATTGCAGCTGGTGTTCCCGTCACTGGAGGCGGACATGCTTTTCAAGCAGCTGCTGATGTGGCAGAGGATCTTCCTCCACTTGTGGACACGTCTGCATGTCAAGATCTTGACGAAGAGGCGAGGAAGAAGGGTACCAGCAGGGAAATTCCAGTGACAGCAACTCATGCTGAGCGTGATGGAAGACATGAACCTCTTCTGGAAGAGGAGGAAGGGATGCGGGAGGAGGATATGCATATGGAAGGGCCTGCTGACGTGACGCTGGGGGAAGAAACTGGATCAAAGGGAGGAGGAAGCAAGGGTGGGGTAGGGGAAGAATTTCCAGTGCTGGAAACTCCAGCAACTCCAGCCAAAGATGAAGTGACAACGAAGGCAAGGATTCTGCCAGCAGCAACAGGGGAAGGGACTACAGGTGGTAGCAGTGAAACTGCTGGTCGCTGGGCCTTGAGGTCCCATGCTAAGGCGCCAGGCAATGAAGAGAGAGAAATTGAGGAGGTTCAGGAGCAAGAAACCAGAAGGGTGAAAGTGAGGATGGACGGCAACGAGGTGACTTATGACATCAATACATCAGCTCCATTGGGCAACATGTTTGCGCTCTTCTGCAAGCGAGTTCATTTGCCTGACGGTGGGGTGACGTTCTGCAACAACGGCCATGTTTTACGGGGAAACCAGTCTGTAAAGGATGCTAAGCTTGCTAATGGCTCCATCATTGAGGGTTACATTCAAAAGCTAGCCGGCTAGGGAGAGACTAAATTGTCTGGATGGGTCTGGACTGGACTGTTGTGTTTTGTAAATATCCCCGTCATCTTGTATTTGAACGTTTTACATGAATGTCTGATGAAGATAGATGTTGCTCACCTTGAACATTTTACATTCAAAGATTTTGCTCTTGCTTGTTCTGTTTTTGTTGTGTTCTGTTGGCGTTATTACAATTATTGTACACAACACCCCAGCACCTCTGCTGGGGTGCTGGGAAGCGCCTCGGATTCCTGACACAGCTAGAAAAGGGAAGGAACTGCGCAGTGTCTTTCACATCTTGCGTTCAGCTGCTAATCTACTATCTCCGGCTTCTACCTAGGTGCAAACATGTCTCTTTCAGGACACGAGACGCATGTGTGCTGCGATGACTCATCTGCTCCAGTCAGTGCGACTTCACTGGATGAGTTGCATTCTCTTCAAAAAAAGCCAACTTCACTTCCGAGCCATGGCGCCGAGTCTATCAGGTAGCTTTTCGATGTCACTTCAGATAGTTGAGGATTTTCAATAACGTTACTCACATGTAACACCGTTTGCAGTGCGTCTTTGGCATCTCACGCGCGGGAACAAGGCCCAAACGTGATTAAGGGGGACCCAAAAGCCATTTCCGGACATACCGCCGTGCATTTCGTCACTCGTGACTACGCCAGCGACTTTAACCTTAAAGCGACCCACGTTCTTCACAATCTTTCGCAAGCAGGTGTGTTATGGCGCTGTCTAGCTCGGCATTTTCGTGTTTCCACTCCATTGAACGACGTCACATGCGGCGTTCTTACCTGAACAGAGCTTTATGAGCACGCGATCAAGGATGAGAAGGGCACATACATTACGTCAACTGGCGCGCTCGCTACTCTGTCTGGAGCAAAGACGGGACGCTCTCCTAAGGACAAGCGCATTGTGAAGGAAGAGACCTCGCAGGATGATCTGTGGTGGGGGAAGTAAGTCTAGCTCCTATTTTCCATCATCCACATGTGGTTGTTGGGCTTGAGCATATTGTGCTTCCTCAGAGGTTCACCCAACATTGAGATGGACGAAGAGACCTTCTTTATCAACCGCGAACGTGCTGTCGACTATCTGAAGTCTCTGGATAAGGTGTGTTTTTTTTTTCTGCATTACGTTCCGCGGTCGTTTGATAAAGAAATAGCCTAAAACCGTTTTGGTTCCAGGTTTTCGTGAACGACCAGTTTCTGAACTGGGACAAGGACAATCGGGTAAAAGTCAGAATCATCACCTCTCGTGCTTATCACGCTCTCTTCATGCACAACATGTAAGAGCCTGGGTAGCTTGTTTCGATTTATTTGGATCCAACTGCCTCTGCACGTTCCAGCTTGCTGACATTCACTGTCTATCCCTTATTCTCATCTATTGAACGACTCAGGTGCATCCGGCCTACTCATGAGGAGCTGGAAACGTTTGGTGAACCTGACTTTACCATCTATAACGGAGGGAAGTTTCCATGCAACCGCTTCACTCACTACATGACATCATCAACCAGCATTGACATCAATCTGAAGAGGAGGGAGATGGTCATTCTTGGAACTCAGTATGCTGGTGAGATGAAGAAGGGACTCTTCGGATTCATGCATTACCTGATGCCAAAAAGAGGAATACTGTCACTTCATTCTGGCTGCAATATGGGGAAGGGAGGCGACGTATCCCTGTTCTTCGGTCTTTCAGGTATGTTGGCGTGATCGTGCCTTCTATGAGCATTCACACATCGAGAAAGATGCTCAATTATCTTATCGTGTGTTTTACAGGCACGGGGAAGACGACGCTGTCAACAGATCCTGGGAGGTACCTGATTGGGGACGATGAGCAATGCTGGAGTGACAATGGTATATCCAACATCGAAGGAGGGTGTTATGCAAAGTGCATTGACCTGTCACCGGAGAAGGAACCGGAGATCTTCCACGCAATCAAGTTTGGGACAGGTATGTCGCTATCTTATTTCGCTCTGTATGCGTCTCATAAGTTCAGGAATCTCAAACATTTGTCTTCTTCAGTTCTGGAGAACGTGGTTTTCGATAGCCACACCAGGGTGGTTGACTATTCCGACAAGTCTGTGACTGGTAAGGTCGTGCTGTTTTGCGATTGTCAGTAGTATCATTAAAACCACTAACGAACGACGTACTTACAGAGAACACCCGTGCCTCATACCCTATCGAGTATATTCCCAATGCGAAGATTCCCTGTGTTGGTCCCCACCCGAAAAACGTCATTCTGCTGGCCTGTGACGCATTCGGAGTTCTTCCTCCCGTCAGCAAGCTGACCCTTCCCCAGACCATGTATCATTTTATCAGTGGATACACTGCTCTGGTGGGTCACACCTTCTCGACCGTCCACATTTGTCTGCTGCAATGAGAACCCTTTTGACAACACAACTTGCACGTTCTGGCTGTTCCCTTCCTGGTCGCTACCTGAATACTGTACTTGGTCTTTGACAGGTTGCTGGCACTGAAGAGGGTGTCAAGGAGCCCCAGGCAACGTTCTCCGCCTGCTTTGGGGCTGCATTCATCATGTGGCATCCCATCAAGTATGCGGGTATGCTTGCAGAGAGGATGCGCCAAAATGGAACGACTGCCTGGCTCGTGAACACGGGTTGGTCCGGAGGCAGCTATGGCGTGGGAAGCAGGATGAAGCTGGCTTATACGCGAAAGATTGTCGATGCCATCCACAATGGGTCACTTGCATCTGCTACCTACAAGACCACACCGATATTCTGCCTTCAAGTCCCAGACAAGGTTGATGGTGTGCCGCAGGAGATTCTCGAGCCACAGAACATGGTGAGAGACTCTCTGCCAGTCTGATTTCGAATTGCTATGCACTCGCTTGGCACTGTTGATTATACTTCTGCCTTTTGTGTACAGTGGGCTAACAAGGATGCCTACAATGCAACGCTGAAGAAGCTGGGTGGTCTTTTCAACAGCAACTTCTCCAAGTTCACAGAAAGCATGGCTGGTGTGGACAGTACCTTGTCTGAGCAGATTCTCTCAGCAGGGCCTCAGCTAGTATAGGGATATGTCCATGCAGCAACGAGTCTCTACAATAAGCACCTGTCACATGTGTGCAAGCACAGGAGATGTGCAAAGGCTATCGAGTTTAACACCACGCTGTATTGCTAGCAAGAATAAAGCCTGCAGTGATTGACAATGTTAGCACTTAAGTGAAATCCATGTAAAGCCTCACCAATCTGCATGACTAGGTTGGGCAGCGATAATCAGCCATCTCCTGAACAAGAGCCCTCCATCCACTATTGCGATTGCAGTTCCCTTTACTGTTAGTGGCCTAGTACAGACGTATGGCAGTACATGTACAATCCCTGAAAGTCAGTCCTTTCAGTAACAATCAGTTCCTCCCAAGTGGCAGCGACCTGCAAGAATACGTCTCCTTGAGGTCTTCCTTCCGTGATGACGTGAAGATTGATGCATAAACGTCCTTACTTGCTCCTGCTGGCAGCCTGTCCACTGCTTTGAAGTGCTGCTTCTGCTGAACCAAATCCGACCCCTTTGGTCTTGCTTGGTTACCAGATCCTGCTGACGAGCTCTTCATTCCTGCAGATGGACCTTCTGCTGCCTTCCTTTTTAGTCCTCGCTTGTCTTCAACCAAGCCATGAGCAGCGATTGCCTTGTCCTCAGCGATTTGAGTGCCTGTTGCCTTCACTCCGGAACCAATGCTTTTCCTCTCCAAGCTCCCTGCCCTACCAGCCGTCAAAGCTATCCCATCCACTTCCTTCACCGCAGCTCCGTTTGACTCGTTCCCTGTGACAACCACATCAACCTGAGCAGGAGCGCCCCCCTTTTTCTTCTTTCCAGCACGTCTGGAGGCTTGCTCTTCCTCCATGCGAGTCCGAAGTGCATCCACCTCTTCCTCAGTGCCGTTGATAGGGATGCGATCCGTTTCAACAAACTTGGCGTGACAAACAAGACATGCTGGAGAGGGCAGCTCCTTGAGTGCACGAGCACTTAGCACATGGCCACAGGGGCGAAGGGCGACAAACTTGAAGCTGCCACTGAACTCCTGTTGTGTAATAGGACACTGGAACCTGCAGAACACGGATATGAAAAGTGAGGATGTGGAGTAGAGGAGCAGGAAGCCGGGAAAGTAGATAACAAGTCAGCAAGGATCTACAGTACGGAGTGCCTGTCAACGGACCTTACACACCCTCTCCTACATACCTGACATGAGCATTCGAGTCAAGTCCTGGAATCTCCGTCAGCTGAATCCCAACCACATCCCTCAGCCCCTTGATGTGTTTCAGCGCAACGGGGATGTTCTTCTCCACTAGAGCGCGAACCACAGCTTCCTTGTTGAACACGTTACCCAGGAGATCCACCACACACGGAGGGGTCAGCGGCTCGCCTGACAGGTGGCAGTGCGTCCAGCTCGCCACGCGTGTGTCGCGCGGGTCAACCTTATCCGGACGGCGTCCGGCGTACATCTGCAGGTAGCAGTCACGGGACTCAGCTCCTGTTGCACCACCGTCCCCACCACCGCCGCGCAAGGGAACGGTTATATCTAGGGTATCGTACGGGCGGACGTGTAGGGATGATAAGCTGGTGAAACGGTGATGAGACGACGCGAAGGGGAAAAGCTGCCGGCCTCCGTGGAGCACACGGAAAGGATTAGACGAACAACCGGAGCTGATTCCATGCCGCGAGGGTTTGATGGAGGAGGAGTGTGAATCAGAGAAGCTTAGGGTGTCGCCGCAACGCAAGGTTGACAAAGAGAGACCAATCAAGGTCTGGAGTGACGCGGTGGGGGAAATCGTGAGTGGAACCACGTGAGACTCCTGCCCGGGACCTCTCAGGAAAAGCTGCATGGTGAAGGCACGATGGAGACGAGAATAGCAGGATCGGTCTGCCTCGGACCAATTCAAACGAAATAGATCACCTAGTTGACGGACAACTTAGTGCAGGCGAACACTCTGGCTTCTCAGACCTAATTGCGTCACTGACTGCAGTCACTAGCTAAAATAGCTTGCTGCTCCCAGCCAAGAAACGGACAGCCCTCTGTGAAGAAAGTTAGAGTTACCACTTGGTGACTTCTGCACTGCGCCCTTCGTCAACAAGTGTGTGCTTTCGCTGTCTCCTTTTCGCGAGTTGAAACATTTACGCGATGCATTTCCAGTGGGTAAAGCGAGCTTCGCCATCCACGTTCTGTTTCGTTTAGGGCGTGTCCCAAGCGTACGTCCCAAAAAAATGGAGTACGGTGCGACACGCTGGGAGCCGGTCTTCGTGTTTCACCGCTTCGAAGGTCGAGAAACCAGATTGGACCGCAGAAAATGTATGGGGGACGTACTCTTAGGACACGCCCTTAGCGTGAGCTGAAGCAACCTCGCAACGCATCAGGCAACCGCAAAATTCGGATGCTGGGTCGAAGTCATATCAGCTAGGAAATAAACGTGTATTCAAGCCCAGGGGCGAGTTCCCGCCCAATAGTGCGTCATCTGAAACGAGTACAACGTGCCACGATCAGTCATGTGAATTCCTTGCCCAGCCGTTCACCGACACCTGCAACCCGCTTGAAAGTCGCTCTTCCGGTGACACCTAGACCTCGGTGGCTGATTCGTAGCAGCCGATTGGCGGGAGCCTATCGCCGAACCGTTCGCGAGCCAAATGTCGTGTTACCGTACATGGCGAAATCTGCAGATTCGGAACTTCGCCAGCGACTGTCACAGCCCACAACGCCCATCATGCTGGGAGAGCTTAGGAATCTGATCCCTCAGATCAAGACTGCTAATTGCCTATTGCTGGATCCATTCTAGTCATCTTCACGTCTCCTCCCCATTGCACGTCATTGCCTCCTGCTTTCAGCGAGCTCGTCGGTTTTTGCGGATCCCCTCTACCAGAGAATAGCAGCTGACGTGGAAGTGGTGTTCCTTCGTCAAGCCGTTGTGCCCTAGCGTTTCACTTTTCGGACCCGGATTTAGTTTTCAGGCAGCTTATGGCGTCACGTCCTCAGAATGTCGGCATCCTCGCTATGGAGCTCTACGTCCCACCCAGCTTCGTCTCCCAGGTCGCTACAGCGCTCATAGCCGTGCAATTTCATGTCCGCTTTCAGTAATTTCACAAAAATTACTCGTCATTGCATCGCAACGCGCGTCGTCAACACTCCATACACGAACCATCTGCACCCGTACCATCTCTATGTTGTGCGCGGTTTCTACGCCTAGCACTCCTGCATGATGCGTACCGACTTGTACTGTACATGCTAGCGCGTTTACCGCCTTTATCGCGTATGCCTGATCTGTACTCTTTTATGCCATGGCGTGTGCGGACTGTGTCTTCGGTGTGGATTGCAGACGGAGTTGGAGCAGCACGACGGCGTGAGTGCCGGCAAGTACACCATCGGGTTGGGGCAAGACGAGCTCGGCTTCTGCTGCGACCAGGAGGATGTGATCTCCATAAGGTGCGTTTCATCGCCATCAGCGTTTTATTCCAACAGGTTCGTTCCCATATTCGATGAATTGAACTGCGGGTTGTGAATTCTGGTCCAGATCAGGGACTGGCACGAGCCAAATTGAACACACAAGTCATCCATCAATGGAGGAGGAACTCCATTCGTAGTTGTCACACGCATATAACCACAATCATATAAAATCTGGCTTCTTTATATCTCTATTCACACCTTTCTTAAAAATCTCTTTTGAAATCCATCCTTTTATCACGTTCCCCCACACATTCAACCTCTAGTATGCCTTTTCCCCTCCCACCCGTTTCCAACCCATGCAGCCTGACTGCTGCACAGCGGCTCTTAGAGAAGAGCAGCATATCCCCACCCGGCACAGAGACAAGACAGTGATCGACAAGAGCAAGTCCATGCAGACCGCCTCAGAACACTCATCTTCACGCGTTCACTCCTACCCTCCCATCCCTGCTTATGCAGCCTGACTGTTGTCCAGGGTCTGCTAGAAAAGAACGGGGTGGATGCCTCCCGCATCAGGCGGCTGGAGGTGGGGACAGAGACGGTGATCGACAAGAGCAAGTCCATCAAGACGGCCTCAGAACAAAACCATAAGCTCGTGTTCACTCCTACCCTCCCCCATCCGCCCAATGCAGCCTGACAGTGGTGCAGCGTCTGCTGGAAAAGAACAGCATTGACGCGTCCCGCATCGGGCGGCTGGAGGTGGGCACGGAGACGGTGATCGACAAGAGCAAGTCCATCAAGACGGCCATCATGACGCTCTTCGAGGCCAGCGGCAACGCTGACGTGGAGGGCGTTGATTCGTGCAACGCGTGCTACGGCGGCACGGCGGCCCTGCTGAATAGCATCAACTGGGTGGAGGGGTCGTCATGGGATGGCCGCTTCGCCATCGTTGTTGCTGTTGACAGCGCCGTGAGTACTCAGGGGTGATTCGAGGTGTTGGGCATTGCGCGTGGCGTAGGTATTCTTGCTGCAGCATCATCTGTACGGGTGGACGAGTTGCTGTGCTGAACAGCGTCAACTGGGTGGAGGGGTCGTCGTGGGATGGGAGATTCGCCATCTTTGTTTCTGTTGACAGCTCCATGCTCCCCTCCTCACGTCCCTCCCCCCTTCATCCTTCTCCCTCTCCCTCCTCCTAAACCCTGAATCCGAAACCTTCAATCCGAAACCCTCGTGTATGCGGAGGGTCCAGCGCGCCCCACGGGCGGAGCAGGGGCGGTGGCGATGCTGGTGGGGGTGGACGCCCCTCTGGCAATGCAAGGTGGGAGGTTCTGGGTTTGACATTCTCCCCCCTCATTCTCATGTCTCCCTCCTTTCCAGGTGTATGCCGAGGGCCCAGCGCGCCCCACGGGCGGAGCAGGGGCCGTGGCGATGCTGGTGGGGGCGGACGCCCCTCTGGCGCTCGAAAGCGGGCTGGCAGGCAGCTATGCTGCTCACGCCTACGACTTCTACAAGCCCAAGCTCGCCAGCGAATACCCTGTGAGCTGACTTGTACTGGTAGTTCTTTGTGATATCTGTTCTAACCTAGAGGGGTCACAGGGGTGTTGAGGCTTGAGGTGAGGTGTGTGCAGATGTTCACTCAAGTTGCACCGTGTGCTGGCACATCAATCAGTGTTACGTTGCCATCATGTTGCACACTCTCCGTTCTGTGCGTTCTGTGTGTGCGCCATCCAGGTGGTGGACGGCAAGCTGTCTCAGACGTGCTACACCAAGGCGCTAGACCACTGCTACCAACGCTTCTGTGAAAAGTAAGTCTTGAGACGTCTCGGAGCTTTTTTGTGAAATGTACTCTCTCCAGAGTGTGGACGCACACTCCTCTGCATCCGCCCACTCGCCACTTTGAAACTTGATGCCCAACAGCCTGAAATCTTAAGCATGTGAATAGTACTGGGTGTACTGCGCTATCTGCCCTGCATGCATTGTCACCGCCATTACTGTGTGCAGGTATGCCAAGAAGCATGGCTCTGCGTTCTCACTGGCTGACTGTGAATCCGTGGTCTTCCACTCCCCATACAACAAGGTACGGCACTGTCAGACAACATTTAGGGTTCATACTAGGTATGCGCCTTACATATGCAACTCTAAACTTAGCAAAACCTCACGAAATTCACCAATCAATGTACCGTACCACCTACCTACTACAAGGACATATTGGGTTTTGGTGCAGCCATTGTTCCCCTCTGATGCTATGAGGATAAGACATAGTGGCTCTACGATGCCTAGCCCTATGCGCCCTCTGCTTCCCCAACACACTCCGTACCGGCCCCCCGCCCCCTCCCCTCTCCCTCTTCCCCTCCCTCCCTGCCTACTCCAGCTGGTGCAGAAGAGCCTGGCACGGCTGGTGTTCAACGATGTGAAGCGAGGAGTGAGCAGGTATGCAGGAGGGGGATATAGCCTATAGGGGCAAGGGCATAGAAGCAAGGGCATAGGGGGTAGTATGGCCAAGAAAGTAGGGGCTTTGGGTGCAGAAGAGCCCGGCACGGCTGGTATTCAATGATGTGAAGCGAGGAGTGAGGTATGCACTAGGGGGGGACGTAGGGGCACAGGCATAGGGGCAATGGGATAGAAGCAAGGGCATAGGGGAAAAGGGATAGGGACACGGGCATAAGGGCAAAGTGATAGGGACACGGGCACAAGGGCAAAGTGATAAGGGCAGGCTGTAAGGGGCAATAAGGAAAAAGACTGATCTCTCCTCCCCACCCTTTCCCCGATCCTGGGGCCATGCAGCTCATACCTAGGTGCGGGGGAGGCAGACTCACTGCAGCCGTTTGTGGAGCTGGCAGAGGAGAAGAGCCTCGTGGACAGGGACCTGGAGAAGGTGAGAGGTGGAATAGGCGAGGGGTGGAATAGGTGGAATAGCGATAGGTGAGGGGAGGCAGCAGCAGAGAGTGGGGCGCTTCAGCCCGTTATAGACCTGTTGGAGGAGAAGAGCCTTGCTTTTAGGGACCTGGAGAAGGGGAGAGGTGGGGCAGGCGAGAGGCGGGGTATGGGAGACGCGTGCTGAATCATTCTTTTACCCCGCTCACTCGAATTTCCCCCTACTCTCCGGGCTTCTATACCCCTCATCCCATCTACTCCTCTACCCCTCACCCTCTGCCCCTCAATCCCTCTGCCCTTCTACACGTTTACTCCTCTACCCCTACCTTCAGACGGCCATGCGGGTGGCAGGGCCAGTGTACAGCAGCAAGGTGGGCCCCACCACCATGGTGGGCAAGCGAGTGGGCAACATGTACTGTGCATCGCTCTATGGCAGCCTGGCGTCACTGCTGGCGCAGCAAGGGCAGCAGCTGGTAAGTCCATTGTGCCACTCTGCTGTAGTCTCCCTCCCCCTTTACCTCTCCATTTCTACCTCCTACAGTGCCCTTTTCCCCAGCTCTCTCTTGCTTTCCCATTCAATCTTCCCCCTAACTCGTCGCTCTCCCTTCCTCTCCACCCCTCCCACCACACCAGGAGGCCTGTCACGTTCCGCCCTTTGCCTATGGCTCAGGCCTCATGTTGCCCTTGTTCTCCCTCTCATCCTTCTCCGTCCCACCCCTTCCCGCCAACCCCCCCAATCACCCCCTCTACCAGGAGGGCCGCCGCATTGTGCTCTTCTCGTACGGCTCGGGCCTCATGTCAACGCTCTTCTCCCTCTCCGTGCGCGCGGCTCCCGATCCCTTCTCCCTCGCCACGCTCACTGCCCACCTCGACGTGCACCAACTGCTGGAATCACGAACCAAGGTGGGTGGCAATGGTACTCAATGCAAGATTGCCCTCGCCATATTCCCCATTCCTTTTTGCATCCCAATGTGCCTCGACTGCCGATCCCTTTCTCCCTTCCCACGCTCACTGCCCATCTCGACGTGCACCACCTGCTGGAGGCATGCACCAAGGTGAGTTTGCCATCCGTGCTGGCCCCATATGAGCTTATGCTCTCCTCCACTAAGGCTTCCCCCCACTATGCTGGAGTCACCATCAAACGTAAGTGGTGGTTGGTGTCGACGAGGTGATGTTCACCTGAGCTCATGTGAATGCATGAGATGCTGCCTCCCTCCCCCTGCACTTGCTACCTGTGTCCCGCCTCTCATGCTCACGACCTCCCCCCCTCCCGGACTGCCTGTTACCAGGTAGCTCCCGAGGAGTTCGTAAAGACGATGCATCTGATGGAGTCGCGGTATGGTGCTTGCTCCTTCACCCCGGCCACCCCTACCGACCGCCTGCAACCCGGAACCTACTACCTCACGCAAGTGGATGACCTGTACCGGCGCTCGTACGCGCGTAAAGCTACTGAGGTTGATGGAGCTGATGTTAATGGAGCAGCTGAGGCTGCTACAAACGGGGTTGTAGTGTAATGGGCGTGGAATGCGAGCTACACTTGAGGTCCAAGGAAGTGCAGTTTGCATTTGCTCGAGGGGTTAGTACCGTATTGTGGTGTGGATGGATGTCCTCCAGTTGAGGTGGTTACGGTATTAGCACTAATGGATGTAGTAGTTGTGTTGCATTGCTTAGGTTAAAAGCAGGTGAACTGCACTTCGTTGGACCTTATATTCGCTTGTTATCCTTCTTCCAGTAGTATCATTTCAAGGATTTTATCACTAATTCACCATGCAGAAGTTCCAAAAGACTAGAGGAAGGTCGAAGACGGATATGAAACGGGCATTTTCGACATCAGCCCGTAGAAGCGAGTGACTCTACATCGAGCACAATCTTCCCGCGCCTGCAACCTGGCCTGCATATCTCACAGCCCCCCGCTGATTATAGGTCATTTTTGTGACCAGTGATCAATCATCGTGTCTGCATCTCCCTCCGCCCCTTCATCTCACCTCTCTCCACCACGCCACGTCAGCATGCAGCAGCCTCCCGCGGCGAGCCAATGGGGGGGATCGCAGGGAGCGCAGCCCGCGAGCGGCGCAGGCGCAGGCGCAGGCGGAGCGGATGAGCCGCGGACGCTGTGGGTGGGCGACCTGCAGTACTGGATGGACGAGACTTACCTCTGGAACGCGTTTTCATCCACCGGCGAGGTGAGAGACGCGTTATAGTCGACTCGTTACCGTCAGTCGACTTATACCCGAGAGAGAGGTGACCGTCTAGTGACTTTTGACCGTCAGTCGACCGACTCAAAAGTCACCTCGTTACGAGGTGACCGTCTAGTTAGTGCTGCGGGTGGGCGACCTGCAGTACCGGATGGACGAGACCTACCTTTGGAACGCGTTTTCATCCACCGGCGAGGTGAGGCGCGCGGCGTTAGGCTCGAGGCATAGGGTCAAGGCATCGGGCATACGTGCGACGCGTATTGATCGCTGTGGGTGGGCGAGCTGCAGAGCTGCATGGACGAATCGTACCGCTGGAACGCGTTCTCGTCGACGGGCGAGGTGAGCGCACGGCATTAGGGTCGAGGTATACGTGTGAGAAGTGACGCGTCATGATCGCTGTGGGTAGGGGGCTTTCAATACTGGATGGACGAGTCGAACCTCTGCAAGCCGAAGCATCAGCGCCTGGACGATGCCAGAGTCAGCGTGTGCATAGTGGCGGGGAGAGTCGATGCCCTGTCACTGTCACTGTCGCTGTGGGGAGTCTATCTTCGAGGCGCCTAAAGAATAGACTCGTCAGCGTTAAATCGGAATTCAGAAGAATCAATGCCCTGGCAGTCAGTCACTGCGCCTGGGGGATGGGGGAGTCGATGGCTATTTTCTGTTTTCTTTGCTGCTAGCGAGTCAGCCAGTGATCCACGCCCAGCCACATATTTTTGAGTCGACTAAAAAATCGACTCATTACACACGCCCAGCCACATAGCACGCAACAGAGCGACGCGACAGCCCGAGAGCTACGGGTTTGTGGAGTTTGCTCGACATGCCGCGGCACAGCACGTGCTGACGACCTTCCAACCCCCCAAACCCCAACCCCATCCCGAACCCCCTCCCTCCCTCCTCCCTTCCCCCCGCTGTTCAGGTGGTAAACGCGAAAATCATTCGCGGCATGCCGCTGCACAGCAGGTGCTGTCAACCTTCCCATGCTTTTTACTCCTCCCCCCTCCCCCCCCCCCCCCCTCCCCCTCCTCTTTTTTTCCTCCCCCGTTGCCTTATTCTCCAGGTCGGTAACGCCAACAACATCCGCAACAGGACGGCGGGGGGGCAGCCTGAGGGGTATGGGTTCGTGGAGTTTGCGCGGCACGCCGCGGCTCAGCACGTGCTCTCGTCCCACCGCCCCATATCCCGCCTCCACCCCACACCCAGCCCCCCCCCCCCCCCCCCCCCCAACCCGCCAACCCTTCCCTCTTCCCCGTGCCCCGCACTGTTCAGGTCGTTAACGCCAAAATCATCCGCAACAGGGCGACGGGGCAGCCCGAGGGGTACGGGTTCGTGGAGTTTGCGCGGCACTCCGCAGCGCAGCACGTGCTGACGACCTTCCAGGGCACGGCCATGCCGCAGGCGGAGCAGCAGCCTTTTAGGATCAACTGGGCCGCTTTCGGTGCAGGGGAGAAAGGGTGAGTGCGAGTTGTTGAGCCGATACAAGACAATACAAGGCAATACAAGGCAATACAAGGCACTACAAGGCACTACAAGGCAATGCAAGGCAATACAAGGCAATACAAGGCAATACAGGGCAATACAAGGCAATACAAGGCAATACAAGGCAATATAAGGCACTTCAAGGCAATACAAGGCAATACAAGGCAATACAAGGCAATACAAGGCAATACAAGGCAGTACAAGGCAGTACAAGGCAATACAAGGCAATACAAGGCACTACAAGGCAATACAAGGCAATACAAGGCAGGCACTACAAGGCAATACAAGGCACTACAAGGCCCTACAAGGCCCTACAAGGCCATTCAAGGCACTACAAGGCAATACAAGGCACTACAAGGCAATACAAGGCAGTACAAGGCAATACAAGGCAATACAAGGCACTACAAGGCAATACAAGGCACTACAAGGCCCTACAAGGTCCTACAAGGCCATTCAAGGCACTACAAGGCACTACAAGGCAATACAAGGCAATACAAGGATACAAGGAGGCAGTATAGGGTTGACCGTTGAAGGATGCATGGGGCATGGATGGGTATGCGCGGGATGGGATGGGTGTGTTAAGGCACCAGAAAGCGCAGCACGTTCTCTCAACCATCCACTACACATGGGCGCAACACCGAGCCGAGCCGAGCCGGCTTCGAGCCGTGCTTCAGTCGAGCCAAGCCGAGCCGAGCCGAGCCGAGCCGGGCTTCGGCTCGCTTCAGCCTGAGGCCGGCTCGGCTCGCTGAAGCCGGCTTGGAGCCGAAGCCGAGCCGGAAAACGAGCCGGCTCGGCTCGGCTCGGCTCGTTTTCGAAGCCCTGAAGCCAGGGTGGGGGGTCTAGCTAAAACATGGTGCACACTTGAAGCCAGTATGTCCTTGCTATCTCGCTTTCACAGGAAAGGAGATCTTAGAACGGGTGCTGGGGATGCTTAGAGGGCTCTTAGGCGAGGTAGGGGGGGTGCTGGATATTCTAGGGTTTAAAAAACGCGACTCTCAAAATGAGAGTCGCGATTTTGGGGGGGTCGAAATTTGACCCCCGCAGCTTCAAGCCGCGCTGAAGCCGAGCCAGAGCGAGCCGGGCTTCGGCTCGGCTTCGGCTTCAGCGAGCCGAGGCGAGCCGGCTCGGTATTACGCCCATTTCTACCATCTACGGCGCCCCTATGCCTCATGCAGAGCACCAGCCGTCCCTCCCTGTTCAACCCTCTTACCACCCCCCCTCCCCCCTCCCCCCTCCCCCTCCCCCCTCCATCTCCTCTTCCCTCACCCCCTTCTCAGCGGCGAACGCCCAGCAGGCAGGCAGGAGTCATTCCGTATTCATGGGAGACCTTTCCCCTCCCGCCTCTTGCTCTTCCTCCCCTTCCTCCCTCCCTCCCTCCCTCCCTCCCTCCCTCCCTCCCTCCCTCCCTCCCTCCCTCCCTCCCTCCCTCCCTCCCTCCCTCCCTCCCTTTCTCCCTCCCTCCCTCCCTCCCTCCCTCCCTCCCTCCCTCCCTCCCTCCCTCCCTCCCTCCCTTTCTCCCTCCCTCCCTCCCTCCCTCCCTCCCTCCCTCCCTCCCTCCCTCCCTCCCTCGCTGCCCTTATCCATCCTTCTCTCCTCTCGTCCCCTTCCCTTCCCACCCCCCCGTCTTCGCCCTCCCCGGTTCCAGCGGCGGACTCCATTGGCGCTGCAGGGAGCTAGGGCAAGAGGTCTCCATTTTCGCGTGCAACCTTGCCTTGCCCCACGCCTCCTTACCATCTTCCTCTCCCCCTACCATTCCTACCTATTCACTCCCTCCCGTTCCCCTCTCCCACACCAGTGGCGGCCGCACAGCGGGCGGGCTGCAGTTTTCCGTATTCGTGCGCGACCTCGTCCCTCAACTCGCGCCGTCATCCGTCTTCCCCCAGCCCCCTCCTGTCCGTCTCCCCCTTTCCAGTGGCGTGTTTTTCAGAATTCTCTCCGTCATTCGTCTTCCCCCATCCCCCTCCCGTCCTTCTTCCCCTTTTCGGTGGCGGCCGCCCAGCGGGGGGGCAGGAATTGTCCATATTCGTGGGGGGCCTCGCCCCCTCCCTCGTCTTGCTCCTCCGCCCCTCGCCTCCTTCCCTCAACCCTCCGTTTCGTCCGCTACCCACCTGCTGTCCTCCTTCTCCCCCCTCCCAGCGGCGGGCGACCAGCGGATGGCCAGGAGTTCTCCATATTCGTGGGCGACCTCGCCCCGGACGTCAACGACTATCTGCTGTCTGAAACCTTCCGCTGCCGCTACGGCTCGGTCAGGGGAGCAAAGGTGCGAGTTTGGTCTTTCCCAGCATAGGTTCAGTAACCTAAGCCGTTTGTGAGCGACCTCGCTCCCAACGTGAACCCCCCCGACTGGAGCAAGGTCTCACAGACCTTCCTCTCTCGCTACGGCTCGGTTAGGGGGGCAAAGGCGAGGGATCTATCTATGCTAGGGCTCGGTTAGGGGTGGGACAGTTAGGGTGTGGGGTGGGTGATACGTACGGTTACGGCGGGCGTGCTACCTGCGATTCTCATTGGAGAACTAACCATGATGGTTCATTGCGTTGCGAGGTGGCTTGGCGGTTCTGAGAATGAGCTCGAGGTCAGAAAAAGATGAACTGTAGGTTGTATTAAAACCAGCGATGAACTAGTTTCGCCTCTTGAACGCCATCATGGTTAACCCTACGACCGGCGTGCTTCCTGTGACTGTCATTGGAGGAGGAGAGGATTTGGATGGCTGCCGCTCTTGAGAAGTCTGAATGAACACTTTCCTACTTCCAACTTCAGTCCCCCCTCCCCCCCCTCCCTTTACCCCCCTTTACCCCCCTTTCCCCCCCCTTTTCCCCGTCCAGGGGGTGGTTGACAATATGAGTGGGTGCACTAAGGGCTACGGTTTTGTGCGATTCTGATCTGATCTGAGGGGGAGAGGGACCAAAGCGGTACTGTGTTAGAGCTGACTGAAAATAGGCTATTCCGCTCTCCCTCCCAACAGGTGGTGGTTGACAATGTGAGCGGGCGCACCAAGGGGTACGGCTTTGTGCGGTTTTCATCAGAGGAGGAGAGGGAACGCGCGCTTCACGAGATGAACGGCCAGATGTGCTCCTCGCGCCCCATGCGCATCAGCATCGCCACACCTAAGAAACCGGGGGCTCCTGGGCAAGGTGTGTCTTGTGGGATGGGTAGTGGTGGATTAAGGGCGATGGGGTGCGGTGGTTATGGGATGTGCTCCGCGCACCCCATTCACCTCAGCATCGCCACTCCCGAGAAACCGGGGCCTCGGGGACAAGGTACGGGGAAGGGCCGGGGGGTCGGGGGGAAGGACGATGGGGAGTTAGGATTGGAAATTGGGGGGAGGGGTAAACCCGAAATTGTGAACCCTGACAAGATATTGGTGGGTTGGAGATTGGGGGCTCCTGCACATCAGCATCGCCGCTCCCAAGAAAACCGGGGGCTCTGGGACAAGGCAAGGGAGAAGGGAGGGGAAAGAGGCACGGGGGAAGGGGGGGAACAAGGTGGGGTGAGGATGTGCTCCCCACCCCACGCCCCATGCGCATCAGCATCGCCACTCCCAAGAAGCTTGGGGCTCGGGGAGAAGGAAGTGTAATGGCAAGGCGAGGAGAGCTTTCAGCACCTTAGAATGGCGTGTCGTGTCTTGCTGGGGTGAATCACGAGGGTGTTCGACGCGTGCAGCTCTTTAAGTGATGGAGGTGTAATGCGGAGCGGATCATATCCTCGTTTTGAGGCGCCTCAAAACGCGTGCAGCTCTTTAAGTGTTGGAGGTGTAATGCGGAGCGGATCATATCCTCCACTTTGCCTGCCTTCCCTTGGTTCCGCGTCAGCCATTTTCATCATATAATTGTAATTATTACAAACAAAAACAAAAACAAAAACACGTCTGCTTGTGTACCCGTTTCTGTCTCGTACCTGCCCCACCCCCCCAGGTGGCATGCAGGGAGGCGGGCAAGGGGGAGGGGCGGGGGCAGGCCCTCGGCCCCAGCCGCAGGGGCCGGGAGGAGAGGACGACCCCACCAACACCACGGTGAGATGACTGATGGATCGCCTTTTCTGGGAGTGTATGAGCCAACACCACTCAGGGGGGAGGTGTGAGGGCAAGTTCCCCCCCCCCCCTCCCCCCCCTGTCCTCCGCCCGAGCTGCAAGGTCCGGGGCCCGGGAGGAGAGGACAGCCCCACCAACACCACGGTGAGATGACTGATGGATCACCTTTTCTGGGGGTGTTTGAGCCAACACCACTGGGGGGGGGAGGTGTGAGTGAGGGCAAGTCACCTCCCCTCGCTCGTACTGTCCTCTGGCCCAGCCGCAAGGGCCGGGGGGGGAGGACGACCCCACCAACACCGGGGTGAGTTGATGACAGGTAGCGTGGATCTTTGAGCCAAACCAACCAACTCACTTGAGCCAGCCAATGCCAAGGTTGCGGCATGAGCTGATGCACCTCAGGCTTGAAGGCTGTGGGGGGCGAGGCAAGCTGCGGTGAGGCAAGGTGAGGTGAGGTGATATCTCAGCCTGCAAGCTGAGCTGAGTTGATGTCTCAGCCTTCAAGCCTGAGGAGGATGACATGAGATATCTCAGTCGGCTCATTCTAACTCCTCTTTTCACCTTCCCTGCCTTCTCCCGTCTCCCTTTGACGTGTTAACACAGATCTTCGTGGGCGGCTTGGATCAGCGTGTGACGGACGCGTAGCTGAGACTCTCAGCCTGAGAGCAGTCTTCGGGCCAGGGGGCGAGCTGGTGGGATCATTGCGTACACTCGATGGATTTTGAGTCGACTCAAAAGTCACCTCGTTACAATGTCACACGACACTTTTGAGTCGACTCAAAAGTGGCCGTGGGGCGAGCTGGTGTGATCATTGCGACCACTCAATGGAACAATCTTCTTCCTTCCCATTTCTCTCCCCTCTGTCTCGTGTTACCCTAGAACAGATTTTTGTGGGGGGGTTAGACCAGAGTGTGACGGACGAGCAGCTGAGAGCAGTGTTTGGGCCGTGGGGCGAGCTGGTCTATGTCAAGATCCCCTTCGGCAAGGGGTGTGGCTTCGTGCAATTCAGACACCGGTGAGTCTCTTTGGTGCCTCTTGGGGCGATTCTTAGGCGCACAACAAGGGATGTTGTGGCTTTGTGCAATTTAGAAACCAGTGAATTGATGGGTGAGTGTGTGGCTGCCAAACTATGCTATGCTGAGAGCAGTGTTTGCCGTGGGGCGAGCTGGTGTATGTCAAGATCCCGTTTGGCAAGGGTTGTGGCTTCACGCAATTCAGACACCGGTAAGTGCATGGATTGGTGCATGGTTGCATGGGTGGATAGGTAGATGCCAACCAATGCACCGCTGTGCATGGGTGCATGGGTGGATAGGTAGATGCCAAGCAATGCACCGCTGTGCATGGGTGCACCACTCACGTTGACTGCTATCCAAGCCTCCTCCCTGGTGCTCTGCCATCCGCCCTCCTCCTCCTATCCCCGTCACCAGATCGCAGGCAGAGGAGGCATTGAGGAACATGCATGGAACGGTCATTGGCCAGCAGACCGTGCGGCTCTCATGGGGCCGCAACCCCGCATCCAAGGTACCTCATGGCATGCCATGTTAACATCATGTGCTCCCATGTGCGTGCCATGTTAATATCATGTGCTTCCATGTGCGTGCCATGTCGTTAATGGGATGCTGTGTGGTCGTGACGTAGTGATAGTATGATGTTCTGTGCACATTACCCTGTTTGGTGCATCGCTATAATTCATGCCACTTCCTGTTTCGTCTGCTAATGCCTTTCCTTGCCGCTCACTTTCCGTTCTGTCGTTATATTTTGTTTCCTTGCACAGCGCACCTCAACTTACCCTTCCCAGGGCTCTCAGTGGCAGCAGCAGCCTCAGCAGCAGCATGATCCCAATGCAGCAGCAGCAGGTGGTTGGGGCGCTGCTGCTGGTAACACCGGTTACTATGGAGGGTACAGCGGTTACGATGCTTCAGGGGGTTACAACCAGGGAGCGTACGCTTCATACGGTGGATATGGAAGTTACGGGGGCTATCAGCAGCAGGTATGCGTACATCAATCTTTTAATCAATGGCGAACTTCCTGGGCTTTGGACGGAAAGTTCCAACAAAACATTAAGGATATGAGGCTTGTACTGTACTTGCCCTGAATGTCTTCTTGGATGTATCTCTGATTTAGAATTCGGTGTTTCTTCTTGTGCTGCCAGGCTTGGCCTCAAGCCCAGGCTGCTCCACCACCAGCTGCAGCATCCCCCGCCACAACACCAGCACCACAAGGCGCAGCAGCAGCATCAGCTTCTGGCTTTGCAGCTGGAGTGACACCAGAACCCTTCGATCCCCAGCGACCCCCTGATGTGGAAAAGTAAGTAACCTGCTGCTTGTCGTGCCTTTCCCCCATTATATGCTACCTTCGGTATGACCTGCATTGTCTTCCAAACCATTTCCTCTATGCATTCTCCACGTGATTATCCCCCCCACCCTGATAATTTCTGTGCATGCAGGATGAATGCTCACTATATGGCAAAGCATGAGGGGTCACTCATCCCTCACCATGTTTGGTTCAAATTGCCAGAATCAGCACCTGCATAGGAAGTGCAGCTATGATCTGTCCATTCCACTTCGTTAGGAACATTTCTATCGTCACTGATGTTTCTGTCATTAGCGCTATTGGACTAACAAAATCAACTGTTCATATCTGGCATGGGAATTCTGAAACATGTCCTTTTTAGTGCATCTGCCATCACACTGTTGCTACGATCACGCAGGTGACCTTGGGTTGACTGAGTAAGTCCACCGCTTATGTATTTCCTTCAGTTCATGAACAATCTCTGAAAATGATGGCCGTTCTGACGGTTTCCTGCACAGATAGCAAGTGCAGCTTGAGGGAAAGAGGGGTCAAATCAGGAAAACAGGAAAGAATGTGAACGTACTCTGCCCAGCAGGCTCCTATGACTTTGGAAACAGCAGGATCTACTGATCCTGGAATGACAAGTCTCCTTTGCTGGAAACCAACAGCCCCCACAACTTGCATCGCATTCAAACCCCTCCACGGGCGTTGCATTGTCGAGAGCTCCCATAGGACCACACCAAAACTGTAGACATCACTCCTGGAAACAAACACCCCATGTTCAGGAATTTGCTGTGATTAAATTACCGGATGACGAAGCGGGGTTGCCAGGGAGTGAGCGGGAAAACCCTTTACACACACAACCTACTTCTCATTTGATGGCTCATTCCGCAACACTTCTGGGGCCATCCACTCTGGCTGCAAAAGATCACGGGTCATGTTGAACCCCTGCGAAGTATCAGACTAACAAAAGAAATCATACATACCGTTCCAGCTGCAGTTCTTGATGACAGATAAGTCTGGTTCTTTATCTTTGACAGGCCGAAGTCACAAACCTAGGATTTTTCTGCGTCAGTGTCACAGCAATTTTGCCAGACCCGAAAACTGATGAACGAATCAATATAGTCACCTTCACAACCCAGTTCTTATCAACAAGAAGATTGGGAGATTTCAGGTCTCTGTGCACGATTAGAGGGCTGCAGCAGTGAAGGTAATTCATTCCCTTTGCCTGCAGCCACAGTGGCACTCAGATTGCAAAAAGCTATAAAAAGAAATCCAAAAAGTATAACAACTCACCACATCTAGTGCCATCTTCAGTCGGCGCCGCTCATCCATGCTCGAAGATGCATTTGGCCTTGTCAGAAGTCGGAATATACTCCCCCTGGCATTTCAAGAGATTATATGCGAGGTTTGGCGGATGCAGAATGCTACACTCACGTACCTTGGGAGAAATTCTGTCACAATCGACAGATGTGGAGGGTCAATGATTGCACCCATAAAAAGCAGTATGTTTGGATGACGTAGCCGATGCATCATAGCAACCTGCAATCACCAGGTATTGTCAGAAGATGCAGGGCGGGTGCATTCAAAGTATGACGATGAGGACGAGAAGGGATTGCTGCACCTCGGACTTAAAATCTTCAATAGCATCCGCTGGGATTTCTTGATCTATCAGCTTCTTCACAGCAACCTCCTGCAAGAACGAGTGTTATCAAACCATCACCTGCCAATCAGGCAAGCAAAACCAGGCAAGCAACCAACATTCGTACAAAGCCATTCCACTCGCCCTTGAACACTTCTCCAAAAGATCCTGCAAGGTAAACGTTTGTAACGATTGAAGATGTGAGCATTGATTGCACTAAGCGTAAAAGTGCACATACCTAGTCCCACACGCTCGCCAAGTGTCACCGCTCCTTTTGGAATTAAAAAGCCATCCAGCTTATACATCTGAATTTCTTTTGAGAAGCTGAAGTCAGCGTCTTCACATCCTGATTGCTCAGTATTTTCACCATCTCTGTTGCTGATATTGTCATCTGCAACGCTCGAGACACATTTAGATGCCTGCATATCCATCAAGAACATGCATATCGTTCTGTACAATTGGGCCAAACTTGACTTCCAACTTTCCTTCCAATTACCTGCTTCCAGCTTTTTTCCCGTTGTCCCCTCAGCCTGGACAGAGAGGCAGTTTGTGAATATGAAATAACAGAAATGATAACCAGATGCTGGTTACCTGATTTTCTGAAAACAGCTGCCGCTTCTCCTTATCAGGGGACTGCAGAACGGCCTGATAAAGAAGTAGTTAGATGACTCATTGACCCTAAGTTGTACTTTCACGTTGTAAATATCCCATACCTTCAGCCTCTGGGCGAATCTTGGATTTTCCTTGGCAACATCTGCAACGAGCATGGGAACCTGGGGAGATCCCCATCCATCTGTCCATGAGGGTGATCGACGTCTATTCTTTCTGTCCTCAGGACGAAACATTGGGCTGTTGCTTCCCACATCTGACCCACTTTCAGCACCACATTCATCATTAGGAGGTATTTGCCCAAAAAGTGTCTTCTGCGATTCAGGTTCTAGTTCTGTCAAGATAAGAAAGTCAAGATTCAGACTTCGTCGCATAAAAGCTGAACTGCTGTCTACTTACCATCCTTGCCTAGCAATTTCGCCATTGATGCCACCAGTGCCGGGAAGACAGCTGTCCCCGCTTCGCAGTATTCATCAACAGGACTTGCAACTGGTGATATTGTAGGCGTTTCCAGATTCGTAACCGGGACTAGAAGGCCTGGCGCTTTCATTAAATCAACTACATATTCCGAACCATCTTCATCTCGAATCTTGGCCCTTGCACCATCCTTTGTGCCAGTGTAAAACCGACCACGGACAATGCAGCAAGGTACGCCAACTCTATCCGCCAACACCTGGAAGCAAACTCGTGTCAATGAAGCTCACTACAAAAAAAGAAACGTTACAGCGAGCTTGACATACCTTGAAAAGGAGAACCCTGTGCCTGATCAACCCAGAGGTAATCAGGCCAAGTGAGATGTAGTGACTCCGAAATGCGCTTTTAATCTTCCAATACACAGATCGCCAGTCAGATTGCAGAGACTGGTCGGAATCTACTGCTCCTCCCATACGGTTTGCAACAAGCTCTGCCAAACGAACAGCGATGCCTCGCCAACCGAGTTTTGCAGTTGTACGAGCGCCCGAAGGACTGGATGGACTATCAATCGACATTGCTTTGCGTTCAAGAAGGACCAGCTCAGCGTCTGACTTTCTGTCCACTAGAACAGCCTCAACGGTCGCTGGAAAGCTGTCAAGGATGATGGATGCCGGCAAAGGGAACTGCTCGATTGCTCCCCAAATGTCAACGAAGCCATCCGGGACTATGTCCCCATACGTTAGCACGTTCCTTTTCTGCGCGTTTGTAACAGCATTAACGAAGGTCTGGGAGACATAAGCAAGAGCGACAGACCTACCCAGTAAGCCTCTGAAAAGCGAAGGGATGCAGTCACAGGTGATTCCGGTGGGGTCGATACGCTAAATCCGCGCAAAGACTTGACGGAGCTCCAGGTCTTGAGCTCCACCGATGAATTGATGAGAGCAGATGTTAGTATGGAGTGAGCATCTTCCTCTGGTGTGCTTGTGGCCTTCACCTCACTTACACCTGGTTTGGTTGCGTCTTTTACCTCATTTGGACTCCCTGGGTCCATTGTATGACAAAATGTGGAGCTGGAATGAGGTTTGTGCAGTTGTGAGATGGTATTCAAGCTTTGCCTGGAGAAAAGGACTCACGAAGATGAAGTGGGTGGGTTGGATCAAGTTCCTCCTAGTGAGTGTTTCGTTTTACACAAACAATTTGTGGCACATGACAGAACCAAATTTGGTATTTGCCTACAGTTGCAGAATATTTCACCTTTCGGTTTAGCTGACTACACCAGATCCCAGCACAAGCGCCGCCACAACACAACCGTTCAGCATCAGATTCCGACCAGCAGATTCCCAGCAGTCACCACCCTCCTAACAAATCAACCAGCTAGCGAGATAACTAGTACTGTACCCTCATGGCGTTTCTGAACAGATTGCTTAGTTCCCAAGAAGCCAGAATGAAGAGAGGGCCAGCAACCGATTCTCTGGCCGATGGCCTGCGCTCGTCTCTGAATTTTGATGACGAGAGGTCCGGAGGTTCTGATGGCGAGTTCTGTGCGATATGTTGTGAAGATACGTCTGCCGACTTATATTTCTCCCCGTGCCGCCACAAAGCGTGTGCAGATTGCGTTCAGAAGCTCAGACAGTCTGCGGTTTATAAGGTCTGGATGCTAACCTGTTTCTGTAGCCATGGTCGCAGCGAAAGCATTAACGTGAGTCCATACTTGTCGTTATATGCAGGCTGATAAAGGGGTCCGCTGCCCTTTCTGCCGTCAGATTGTCGAAAGCTATTCCAACACGCTACCTCCAGTAAGGTGCAATAAACTTCAAGACGATTACCTGCGAGACGAAAGGCAATTCTTTCAGTTACTTGTTGGAGCTGGAAGTGCGAAAGGGATGCCCAAAGAAATCGTTCGGTATGGAAGGAGCGGGGTTGTCTCTATCGGCGGTTTGAATGAGTATGTGCCTCCCCCTAGCATCACTGGTGCGGAGGGGAGTGGTTTGAGGTTGAACACGCGACCTGATGACATGAAAGAAGGTTACATTGTCCCTCCTCTGAAGCCTCACGATGACTTAATCGCCATGGCTTATGATCGCACAGTACGTATCTGTATTTGTGACTCACTCGTTTCATAGCGATTTGATCTTGACTTAGTGTGTGTTATAATCTACAGGGTTCAAGGCACTTGGCTTATCACTTGCGTCCAGGAAACCCTAGACGGTCGAGAGTGGGGAAACAAGCTCTTGAAACCCTCGCCCCTCATGCTGCAAAGCTCTCAACACATTGTAAGTCACCCCTCTATGGCCACTGGTCCTCAGTATGCTAATTCCTTCGTTCTCTGACGTTCGCTGTTTAGTGTCAGGAAATTATGTCATGCAAAAGCTTTTTGACTATGCAAGCAACACGAGGAATGAGGTGGTTAATGGGGAGACTGGCTTCACCTGCATTGTGCGCTTTTTGACCTGTGACAAGGGGCTAGTATCCTCTTCAAAAGATCAGCGGGGTACTTTTACAATCCAAAAAATGGTTAGTACGCCAGAGATGTTGTGCTGATTCGGTAAGCTGGACGCTTTACCCTACATCCCTTACACTTGTGGTGGACTGTTTACAGCTCGTGTGCCTCTATGGAGCTCAAGAAATGAAGATGGTTATGGAAAGCATAAAAGGAAGCATTGTAAGACTCCTGAATACTTTTTCGACCTTTCAATCTCTTTATATTGATTAATGCGTTTTTTTTGTTGCATGTGCAGCTTTCTATGGTGATGGACCAGTATGCCATTTATGTTATCGAAAGAATTGTACGTTCTCGAGCATCCGTTCTGTGCTTGTTCAGTTGTGAAAGAAGTGGACTGAATGTCCCTTTCTGTTGAATTTTGCAGGCTGAAATTTGTATTTGCTCATTACGCCCCCCTGCGGGAATGAAAGCACGAATTCCACCATCCTTGGCATTCACTTCTTTAGCCCAAATCTGCTCGGAGCTTGGTAAAGACCAAGAAACTTCGATTTTAGTTGGACAGCATGGGGTAAGGCAACAATTCTGCATCTTCTTTAATTTTCTGTTTGAATATATTCCCCCTTGCATCTTAGCTGGTGTTTTCAATGGATCCAGCTGGCGTCGCTGCTTTTTGTTGAAAGCGTTCGGTGGTCACTTCCTTCAAGGCACGCGATCGTTGCTGCCTTGAATATGGCTAGCGGAGGGGCTAAGCTCTTGAAGACACGTGCTGGAGTTCGCTCCATGCAAGGCCTGCTAAGGTATAGTGCTTCAGGTTCTATTTTTCAGCCACTTGCAATTCAGTTGCCAATTGACTTGTTTCTGTTGCTTGCCTCAGCTTGGACCTGGTGGGGGTAGCTGAAGCTTTGCTGGGATCATTATCTGGCTGCTTTTCCGACATGGCCTGTGATACCTCCCCATTACAGAGTGGGCGGTTGCTTCGAGCATGCCTTGCGACACCATCTCGTGAGTTTTGTTGAGCTCTGATTTGCTAGGAAGTGTTATCGTCTTTCTGTTCTTACGCGTGTGGTTTGTCAAAATTGCAGTGCCATCAGCATCACGGGCGAAACTTGTTGATGAACTTCTCCAAGCAGCTGCACATGTCTCATATTTCTGCAAGTCTGAGCAAGCCCTGGAGATTTTGTGTTTTGGCCTGAGCATCCTTCCAGACGAGTAAGCAGCAAAACAATGCAGATCGTCTCCTTACCTTTCATGTTTGTTACTTCTTTCGCCCATTCCCATGTCTCACAAATGTTTCGCAGTTACTTCTCCCAGTAATATCTCACTTTTTTTCCAATTGCGTTCTGATCATAAGTTAAAGGATCCCTTCCGACCCTTAGCTCCCCCCTCTTCCCCTCTACACCCCAACCCTCTCTGCTTACGTCCTTTCTCCACTCCTTCACCCTTCCCCGCCTTTCTTTCCCCTCCGCTGTACTCCCTCCTTTGCTGCAGTATGTTGAATGCTAGGGTCGACAGGGTATCAAGCCTGCTAAGTTCTCAGGCGTTTCATCATCTTCTGACCACCCTTGAGTACATGAGGAAGACGTACTACACTGATTCAACTAAAACACTCGGTGATTTTGAGAGGAACAATAACCAGATTGCAGAGGTCACTGTGGGCGCTGCTGTTCCTCTTGAACCAGAAGCTTTTCCGGAAATTTCCAAGGCGAAACCAGCTAACCCCCCCAATCAAGCAATTTCCAGGGCTGGTTCGGCTGTGCAAGAAAAGAGGGCTGCCCCTGCTGCTTCTTTTCAAGTCCCTCCACCGAAGCCAGATCCTGTCCCTCCCCTTCAAAGCCTGCCCTCTGATTTTGCGTCTGGCAATAGCACTGCTCCGTTTGCAAATGTGGCAGCTGAATCAAGTGCGGCAGAAGCAGATGACGCTAGTTATGGGTGCTGTGTGGTCTGCAAGGCTCAGCCTGCCACTGTGGTGAGTTCTCTGTTGCACGATACCGTATTCTTTTGGAACATGTGTGCGTTCAACAATGCAGACTCTAATTCCGTTGAATCGTATTTTTGGCAGCTTCTTCTGGAGTGTTCTCATGTGTGCTCGTGTGCCAAGTGTTCTCCATCCTTGGCTCTTTGCCCCGTCTGCAAGAATCCTGTGTCTCTGTCCATTGAACTTCAACCGACATCTCCTCCACCAGCGGCAAGAGCGCCATTGAGCTCGGCACGTGAGGCTGAAATCGCTCGGATGCCCCATGGCTCCTCAGCTACGACTACCAGCAACGTTTCTGGACAATGGCAAACTACCAATGGGCAGATGAGCAATGCTGAAACGCAGCAGCCAGCTGCGTTTTCTTATGGGGCCCTCAACTCTGGTGTCTCGTCCTCCTTATTTCTTTCAGACCCCCTCAATTCTTGGCCTTCTTCGTATCAACCACCTCTTCCTCAGGGAGACAATTCTTTTCAGCCGTCATCTCAAGTCATCCAGAGAGGGAGCCTCGCTTTACTACCTGACAGCTTTCAATACTTACCAGCAGGTTCCATCAACCAGATTCTGGGGAACAGCAGACAAAGTGGAGAATTTGCTGTTCGTCCGTCCCAGCCTCATGTTTTCACACAAGCTGCGCAGCTTCCAGACGCCTTTGCTCCTACGGATCCTGCTTTTCTTCTGCCCCCCCGCTCACTGAATCCTGCAGCGTCGGATTGGCTGCAGAACGACGGCCATGATGGCATGGGCTCAGTAATGAATGGGCAAGTTCGTGCACCGTCAGTGTACCAGCCACCCGGATTGTTCTAGGTGCATTCTCATCCCTGAAGCAGTCTCTTCTCTTAGAGTAGAACGAATGACTAGAAAGAGGTGGTACAAGGGGATATAACTGTTACAATGACTGAACGATTAGAAAGAGAGAACATGGGAGATATCGGGTTTGGGTTGTACCCTCTAAGAACACACACCTATTCAACAGTTTTGTTAAGTAACCACTGTTGGGCTGAGAAAAGCCCTTAGGATCTTTCCAGAGACTAAGTCCCAGTTGTAAGAGATGTTTGAGTAATGCAGCGGAAGTTGAGTAGTTGAACCCTTGTACTAGTATATGAGAACAAGTGATTGATTAAAAGGAGAAGCATACAGCAATATATAGAAAGTAGAAAGCAAGCAGTTGTAGAGTACAGTTGAAGGGCGGTTTATCGAGTCGCACAGCGACTCGATTGTCGCTTCGCTTACCATTCTTGCAGTTGTAACGGTCAGTCGCAACCTCCGGTTGCGACCCTTCGTGTTCTTTGTCCATCCCCTCGTGTAACCTCCGTTGACTCGCGTACCCGTTACGATCTTCCTCGAGTGTGGTGTTTACACTTCAGAAACGCTTAAGTCCTTGAGGTACTTCCAACACTCCCCTTCGTTTCTGGAGTGCTGACGTGTTCAGGTCCGGTGACGTTTGTCTGCCCGGTCAGCAGCATGCAGTGATCGAACTTCGCCTTCGCCAGTTTCTTCGTCAGGTAGTCTGCGGCCATTTCTGTCGTAGGGCAGTAACTGAGTTGAAGTCTCCCCTTCGCGATTTCGTCTTTGACGAAGAAGTACCGTAGGGCGATGTGCTTGGTTCGGTTGGCGAAGCCGTCCTTGTTCGCGATTTTGATCGCAAATTGGTTGTCGCAGAGGAGTGAGAAGACAGGTAGGGTCGCGATCTTTGCTTCCTCGAGTAACTCTCGCAGGTAAAGTCCTTCCTTGGTCGCGGTGCAGAGGGCGATATATTCTGCTTCAGCCGAGGATAGTGCGATTAGTTCGTGTTTACTCGACTGCCAGGAGATAGTCCAGATAGGTTCTAGTCGGTAGATGTAGCCCGTTCTCGATCGTCGATTTTCCCTGTCTCCCGCGTGGTCGGCGTCGACGTATCCGAGTAGTTGTACGGACGGTGTTGTTACTTTGCTGTAGGTAAGTCCGGTCGTCGGCGTAGAGACGAAGTAGAGTAGTGCCCGGTTTAGTTCTTCGAGATCTTCTTGTTCCGGCTGCTTCAGATGCGTCGCCAGTTGGCTCGCGCTGTAGGATAGATCAGGTCGGCAGGTTACTGCTGCGAATAGTAGGCAGCCGAGTTTCTGCTGATACTCCTGGATTTGCTTCGCGGGGAGTTTTGCAGAGGTGTCGTTGTTGTTCCCGTAGCGGTAGGGAGTCGTTATTGTAGTTGGTGTTAGTCCAAACTTCTTTGCGACGACGCCTGCGTATTTTCCAGCATATAAGTAGAACGCCGAGTTGTTTTCAACGACGTTCAGACCCAGGTACTGGGTCAGGGTGTTTGACACCGTGAGTGTCAAGTCCCTTTTCAGCTCCCCTTCGAACCAGGTGGCGATGTCAGTAGTGGAGCCGATGTAGAGTAGATCGTCGACGTAGGCGATGAGTAGGATGAATTCCCTTTCCTTTTGGAGTTGGTACATGCCTTGGTCGTGCGGCAGCTGTAGGAATCCGATTTTGGCGAGGCGACCGTGAAGATGTTGCTGCCAAAGCCGCGGGGCTTGCTTGATTCCGTAAAGGGATTTTATCAGCTGGCATACTTTTGTGGGGTCGTCGATGAATCCGTGGGGCTGCTCGACGAAGATCTCGGCGTCCACAGGTGCGTACAGGAAGGCATTTGCGACGTCGATCTGGCGCAGTGGTAGTTTCTTCGTGGCCGCGACGGCGAGTAGAATGCGTAAGGAGGTGTGACGGGAAACTGGGGCGAATGTTTCTGTGTAATCGGTTCCGTATTGTTGGTCGAATCCTCGTACGACCCAGCGAGCTTTGAATCGTTCAATGGAGCCGTCCGCGTCTTGATGCGGTACACCCACTTTCCCGAGAGAACATTCTTCCCGTTGATGTTCGTTGCAGGTACCAGCTTCCATGTACTTCGGTCTTGTAGAGCTTTTAGTTCATTTTCCATTGCCTCCTTCCATTTCGCCTTGTGTCCCCCCCCCAGAGCCTGCGACGGAGTCGTTGGCTCGCGCGGAGATGGCGGCGGCGGATGCTGGACGGAGACCCATAAGCCGAGTATCTGCAGTCCCGTGGGTGTGTGTCGAGGGGAATTTTCATTCCCGGAATAGGCTGCTTCGTCACCATCTTCTAGATCAGGTAAGAAGTTGGGGCCGATGCGTTCTGAGATATTTGTGTTGACGGGGTGAGGGGTAACGTAACCTTGATCAGCGAAGTGGTAAAGGGTGTCGAGGTTGTTGCTATCGAGAGGATTATCTTCGTCGAGTGGAACAGGCACAGAACAGTAAGGGATAGGTCCGGCAGCTTCCGAAGCTCCAGGTCCGTCTTCTTCTACTGCGTCAGCTTCGGCAGCACGGTCAGCGAAGGAGCGAAGGCCCGCAAAGCCGTCGGTGGGGTCGTTTGTGTTGGCGACGTTGTCCAGGTAATGCTGTAGCGTCAGTCGTTCGTAGAAGATCACATCACGTGATGCCACGGTATTTTTGTCTTGTATGTCGAGGATTTTCCATGCTTGAAAATGTTTTGCGATGCCGAGGTGTAGTCCCCACCGTGCTCGTTGAGTGAAGCGTCCTGCTCTGGCTGTGTGGGGTCTGTACTGTACCATGCAGCCAAAAACCCGAAGTAATTTTGTGCTGCCCCTTTTTCTTGTCCACAGCACGTGCGGTGATGCGTTGTTGGGAAGCAAGGACGAGGACAACAAATTGTGCAGGTGGACTGCATGTGTCATCGCGTCTGGCCATAGTGTGTTGGGCAGTCTCATCCCCAGGAGCAGCTTCTGCATCGTCGTCTGCAAGGTCCGGTTCATCCTTTCTGCGACCCCCTGCTGCTGGTGAGCGTAGGGTAGAGACACCAGGCGTCTGATTCCTCTTTCTGCCAAGTAGGTCCTGAATCATTGTGACTGGTATTCCAGTGCGCCGTCGGACTGGAAGCTCTTGAGCTTAGTTCCTGATTATCGTTCAACGATGGGGAGCCACATCGTGAAGGCTTCGAAAGCTTGATCGCACGTCTTGAGGTTGTAGTGCCAGACATATCTTGTTGCTGCATCGATGAACGTGATGACATAGTTGAAGTCGGCTTCAGTGTCGTCTCGAGGCATGTTTAAGATGTCGCTGTAGACTTTTTCCATCGGTGCGTATGCAGGTGCACTTGGATTGTGATGTGATGGAAAAGGTTGGTGGGGAAGATCTGCTTCGGGGCACGTGAATCACCGTGCGCGAGGTCGTCGAAGTTCTTGGCCGCTTGTTGTAAGAAGGGCGTTTCGTTCTAACACTTCGGCTTGGATGGTTTGTAGTACCGTGCTGTTTGCAGGATGCCCAAGGCGTTGGTGCCAGATGTCGTCGGAGGCGCGATGGCCGGGCGAGCGTTGGTACATGTCGGTGTTGGAGAAGAACGCGACGACCGTGGCGGGACTTCGGCAGACTTCACGTGTGATGGGCATAAGTTGATCTGCTTCGGATGGTGGTCCTCGGATTGCTGGTGATGGTACTCGGTTGGGTCCCGCTGCTGTTACTTCAGGTGATGTCGAGGAAGGAACGCTTGCTGGTACTTGTCTTTCTTGTCGAATAACTGCTAACGCTCATGTTCTCTCTGCTGCAGGTATGGTGTTGGAGTACCAGAAGCCATCTGGTTTGAAGTCGGGGTCAAGATCCGGCGGGTGCGTCCACGTGGCGAACGACACGATGCCATCGCTGTCGGTAGTGCCGCGGTCGGGGATGAAATCCAATACGAAGACGCCTGACTTCAAGAGAGCGCGACCGATGAAAAGACCGCCCTTCCCGTGGTAAAGGCGAAATTCGTTGGAGTCCGAGTCGCATTCCAGGTGAATCCCTTTTGCCATTAACTGGCTGACGCTGAGTAAGTTGTATCCCAAGTTGTCGACGATTAGAACTTTGTTGAGTTGTAGTATGACGTTCGTCTCCATTGACTGAAGCTGAACGACGCCTTGTCTGTTTGTTTTCAGGTTCTCGTTGTTGGCGACGGTGATGATGACATCGCGGTTGAGTCGTCGCTCTCGCTGCACGAAGCGCCCGGAAGAACACATGTGTTGACCGCAATAGCTATCCAAGAACCAGGTGTTCCGCCCGGTGGGTTCGGCGTTGGCGACTGCAGCATATGTCGGATTAACCTGAAGTCCTTGTGAGCGCGGCGGCGGCAGTTCTTCCTCGTCTGGAGCGTAAGTGGGTGGTGAGCCGGGTGCGAAGTTGTCGATGTGAACCATGCAATTGATGATGTTTGGTGTGCCTTGTGCAGATATGGAGGAACGCCTCGGCGGGCTTTCTTGAGTGGAGGCGACTTGTGGGTCTACTGGACGATAAGCTCGTGGGCGTGTGCAGTTGACTCTGGAGTGTCCAGATGTTTGACAGTTGTGGCAGAACGGCGGCACAATGGTGAGTCCTTTGTTGTCGCGTTGATCTTGCTTGCTGCGCCGGTTGTAGTTGTTGTCGTTCCTTCGTTGAGTGTAGAAGACTAACGGTTGCTGCTTCCTTGGTTGTCTTTCTTCAAACAGGTCCATCTCTTGTTGTTCAGCATGGAGCTCGGCACAGAGGTGCATCTCCGAGATTCGTCCGTGGGCGCGAAGAAGCGAGCGGGTGGTTCTCCATTCTGGCCCCAGCCCAGCGAGGACAAGCGTCACGAAGCTTTCTTCAGTGATTGTTCCTCCGCACCGAAGCAGGCGGTCGCGGAGTGTCTGGCATCGACTCATATACTGCATCTCCTTTCCCCCGGTCTTCATCTGTATTGTTGTCAGCTGCTGCATGAGTCTGCTTTGTGTCACGCTGTCGTTTGCTTGGTAGAGACACTTGAGGTGATGCCATGCGAGTTCCGCGGAGTTTCCATAGCTCCGATACGTTCTGATGCTTTGCTGTTCTTGTGGTGACAGGTTCCGCAGAAGAACTGTGTACGCCAGCAGCGACTGATAAGTAAATATTTCTTGCTCCTTTGCAGTGCCATTGCTTGGAAATGGCAGGGACCCGTTGAAGTATCCCAAGAGGTGCGCAACCTCCATCAGCAGCTCGAACTCAAAGCTCCAGGTAAAGAAGTCGTGTGCGTTGAACGGTGAGGATGTCTGCAGTTTGATTGCGTGTGAAAA